ACCACTGAAATTTGTTGTGTTTTCTGTACATAGGAAAACTGCCCAGCTTGTAGCCAGCTTCCTCAGAACATTCAGTTTTCTCCATCAGCAAAACTGCAGGAGGTTTTGGATTATCTAACCAATAGTGCTTCTCTGTAAGTGTTCTGTGCTTTGGTTATATTGTAAAAATCCTTTATTTTGTATTTTAAAACTTTGAAAACAAGAATTGTTTTTTAAGCAAATGATGTTATATTTTTCTCATGATCATATTTAGGCAAATGAAATCTCCAGCTATTACAGCCACATTAGAGGGGAACAACAGAACACTTTACTTACAGGTGATCAGTGCTCATTTTAAATTTTTTTTCAGAAAATTTTAGCAACAGTTTAATTTCACTTTAATGTGATTTATATTAACGTAAGTTTTGTTTTCTAGTCAGTAACCTCTATTGAAGAACGAACAAGGCCAAATCTTTCCAAGACGTTGAAAGGTATTTTAAACATATATTAATAGTTTTATTTTGGTAAAAATAGTAAATGTTTATTCTAGATTTGCACTTAATGCACTTAATACATGATCAGATCATAATTACTTATATCTTTGGAAAAAGAATTAATTGCTCTTTTAATAGAATTAATAAACTCCAAAAAAATAATTATTATCTTGCTTAAAGAGAACTTAATTTCTATGTTTATCTGTACCATAAAACTATATTTGTGTGTATATTGTTATCTTTATCTCTCTCTCGTTTTTTTTTTTTTTTTTTCTTTTGCTGGGGACTAATTATGCTTCTTTTATTTTAAGAATTAGGACTCGTTGATGGACAAGAACTGGCAGTTGCTGATGTCACCACACCACAGACTGTACTATTCAAACTTCATTTTACTTCTTAAGGAGAATAAATCTGCACATAATAGAACACTTAGGGAAATAAGATACTTCATGGATGCTAAGAAATATAATTGATGTCATTTTTAGCATTAGTATTGCTGGAATTTGTTTTTTTTTTTTTTTTTTTTTTTTAATATAATGAACTACTCTTTTTTAACTTGATAACTTACCCTGAAGACAGAGTTTTGGGGTTGGTGCTTACAAGCATCTTCCTTGTACGGATGATGATGCCTGGAGGGAGAGGGTACCTGGACTAAGCGGGTTGCTTCTCTTGAAGGAGGAGGCAGGCGCCCTCCTGTGTGTGAGCATTGTTATTTTGCTTGAAGAACACACTCCTCGGCCTTCACTTGAGCACCACATACACAGAGGACAACCTTCAAGGAAATAAGGAATTCAGTTTTTAACATTACAGCTTGACATGTAGAGTATCCTGAACATAGACTGTTTCTTGATTTAATGCTCATTTCACTGTGGCTGTCCAAATGAATGTTAATTATTGCATTTTATCTTGTCCATAATAATTTGTAAACAGTGTTATAACTGAATACCTGTGCATGAAAATAGGAACTATTTTCATGTATTTATTTGTAGTGCCATAGAGGCCAATATGCACAGATTTAAGCCAGGACATGGCTGTTTAAAAAATTTACTGTTTAAACAGTTATCGCTGATGCTTTTGCACTATTTATTAATAAAATCATACATTGTCTTCCTTTTTCACTGAAATTTTAAAAAGTAGATTAAGTTGAACAGTAATTCCAAAGTAATGTAGGAATAATTTTTAAATGTTTAAAAGAATTACTATCGCCAGATTTTTATTGCACCTGAATTAATACTTTTGCTACAGTGATTTCCACAGTAAAGATCTACTGTTTTAATCTGACTTGCCTCTAACATAATAATGTAATGAAATTGAATAACTATATTTTTATATTAAGGTCACAACATATTTGTTTCTTCAAAGATACTAAAACCAAAATTAAGCATATGTACTAAAAACCTGGGTTGTAGTATTTTAATGTGGGAACATGTAGTCCTTGTTGTTGACTTGGATGACAGTTTTTTTGTTTTGTTTTTTGGTTAGATGGCAGTTTTCTGCTCAAAAGCTTTGTAGTTATGTGTCAGTGGTTTTCATTTATTCTTCCCAGCTCCATGTTGACAAATTGTTTGATTATCAATCCAAAGGGGGTAAATTTACATTCTATACCTAAAAAGTCACAGAGCCCGCCTGAATTTTTGTTAGTTTATTTGGGATACCAGGGATGGGACTCAGGGCCTTGAGGACTACTAAGCTAGAACTTGGCCATGTCCCCAGCATAGCCTCAATTTCTGAAGGTGAAGAAACAACATTTAGCATCTCCTTTGTTCAGGTGCTATACTTCTCAAAAGTAGCCTTCTGAAAAGGTAATACTGTCTCCATCTCACCGCTAAAGAAATAGTTTAAGGAGGTTTGGGTCTTTTATACAAAGTTGGTCTGCAGACTTTCTGTTGATTTATCCTGTAGCATACACAGGTACAAATCTTGTACCAACAGTGCTGTAGCTGGGTCAGGAGCCACTGGTAAGGAGAGTGTCACCTAATGCTAAGCACCAGCTCAAGGTGAAAGCACAGGGCCTGGAAAAAATCCTGGCAGGGAACTCAGGCTGCCACACGATGATTGAAGAAGCCAGAGTTGAAGGCAAAAGGGCCCTAGTGGCCCCTGCCTCCATGCTGATTTTCTGCTCATCCCTTTGGGTTTGGGGCCAGCACATCCTGCAGGTGTCTGCATGTGGTGAAAGCTGCCCATTTGTTTTTTCCTTATCTCTTCCTGGACCCTCTATGCATCTGTACAGTTTCTCATCTGCTGCTCCAATGCCTTTACTCTGGTCCTACTGAGAGTTACTGGGAATATCAGTGTGGCCCATCCATTTCCCTTCTGCAACAGGGCACATAACCCTTCAGTGGTGCTTTATGGCTTGACCTCACCTACGGTTTGCCCTCATCACCCACGTTCCCTGCTTTTCTGGCTCACCCTGATCTTCTGGTTGTCCCTTATCACATGGCTTCCCTCAGCCTACATACAGCTTTCCCTGGTGTGCTGGCTTCCCCTCCACATCCAGCTTTTCTTCCTTGTCTGACTTCCCTTCATCTCAGGCCCTGCTTTGGTCTTCTGGCTTTTCTTCATTTTGTTGTTGTCCTTTCCTTTCACTGGAGTCTTCCATGTGAGAGTTACCTTCATTTCCTGTTTTACACGGGTTCTAGGCAGGTTGCTCCCTTTCCAGGTCTCAGAGACTGGGAGGACCTAGGGCAGGTCCAAGATGCTTTTGAAAGTGAGTGCCACCATGGAACCCTGGATTTTTGTATGAAGTCTGTCTTTTAAGTGTTGGTGGATTTTGTCTTTAACATAAGTGAGGCCAAACAAAACAGCTGCTGACTGGAGTAGGAACTAGGCTATCAACTTAAGATTTCTTCCCAAGGCCAATCTTTGAAGATAGTGCTTACAAGAAAGTTATATATACATATAGCACAACTGAGACTAAACTTTTAGCCTTTCATCCTTCACAAGTTCTTAATATGCTTATAAGTAATACAAATGTATTATTAACTTTCAAAATATATTCATATATTACATAGTAACTTTCATTTTTTATTATGAACTTACACAATAAGTAAATCCTAGTAAACAGGATGGGCTGAAAATACAGTAAACAGTGAGATGCAGGTAAGAGAAGAAACATCTAAAGCCACTAACACCAGCTAGTTAAAAGTAGAAAGATGGATATACCTGCACGTTTTATCACTAGGAAATGCTAGTAAAAGATATACTAGGAAAGATATATTAGAAAAATGCTAATAAAAGAACACTGTACAGCAATGTTAATATCTTGATGAAACGGAAATAAAGGTGAACAGGGGCAAGGCTGGTTTCTAACGTTCCATCCAGGAACACCCTTAGGTTTGTTTCTAATTCTCGTCTATTTCTGTTTTTCTATTCTTTTTTTGATGTTGATGAACCTTTATTTTATTCATTTATAGTTGGTGCTGAGAACCTAGTGCCTCTTGCATGCTGGGCAAGAGCGCTACCCTGAGCCCAGCCCTCCTATTCCATCCACCTCATTGCCCAAATGCCTTTGCACTGTGTATGTCGTCTTTAAATTACTGCAGAGAGTGAATCCGTCTTTGTTGTCTACTTTTCCCTCCTGTCCCTCCTCTGGCTTTTCTCAGACTGGTCTTCCTTCTGGTTTGCCTTTTTTTTTTTTTTTTTTGGTAGTTTTCATCTTGTGCCTCTTTTCCTTCCTTCCTGCGGATTCTCTGGATGCAACTGCCGGTACCGAGAGGGTCATTCTCTTCTATTTTTCTGGATTTGGGCGGTCTCTGAAGTCCCGCAGTGGTCCCGCAGGGCCGAGCGCTGTCCCCGGGAATGCGGGGCGGACGCGTAGTTCCACGCGGGCGGCCACCTCGCTAAGGCCCCGTGCGTGCGACGGGCGACAGTCTCGGCGCTCCCCAGGTGTCTCCGTCCTTTTCTTTTGGGGTGGTCCGAGCTTCATCCCCGTCCCGCCCTCCTGCGCTTTCACGCGGACACAGTCCAGCTTGGCCGAGGCTGGCCTGGCACTGGCGCGCCTTCCGCCCCGGCCTCCCAAGGACAGTGCTTCTGAGCTCGCCACCGCCCATCAACGAGGCGGTTCACCCACAACCTCGACGGGCCTCGGCCCCGCCTACTCGCGAGGGCTTGGCGTCTGGCGCCGACGGCCGCCCACGCTTCTTGCGCGGTATACAGGCCAAGGCTCGCCCTGGGGTCCCGGTGACAGGCGGCCAGGCGCCACCGGAGGCGCGAGGCGTGGGCTCCCCTTTGCCTGGGGTTCCTCACTAGCGGACCGACTTCCGGGAGGAGCAGTCCCGGCCGGATGTGTCGGAGAGGCGCTTCCGGCGCGGCTGGTTATCCGGCCGCGCGGTCCCGGACGTGACGTCACGCCGGGCTGCACTAACGCACAGGAGAACCCGGACCCGGCACTGTGGACGTGGAGGGGGCCGGCGCATGCGCACGGGTCGCGTCTCGGCCGGCGGGAGGGAGGGTCGTGTCCCGGCGGGGCCGCTGGGCCATGGCCGCCCACTGACCCACCCCCAGCGCAGAGGGCGAGGCTGCCCACTCGACCTGGCGGCCTGAGGCGGCCGCGGCCTCCGCCCCGCTCCGCACCAACGCCCCGCCGGCCAGAGGGGCGATGAGCTGGTTCAACGCCGCGCAGCTGTCCAGCTTCGCCAAGCAGGCCCTGTCCCAGGCCCAGAAGTCCATCGACAGGGTGCTGGACATCCAGGAGGAGCCGCACGCCTGGGCCGAGGCGGCGCCCTACGGAGAGCCGGGTAGGCTGCGCGCCGGCGGTGTGGACGGAGCGGGTGCTGCCGGCGGTGTGGACAGGGTCCTCCCAGAGTGTGCCTTTCCCTCTGCGTGGTCTCCCTGTTCCTACCCTCTCTCTCTCCCCTCTGGCCCAGGTCCTGAGCACTCTGGTGACCAGGACTGTGCTGTCTGCTGTCCCCATGCCACATCCTGCAGGGCCTGGTTCAGGCCGTTTGCATATCAGATCTGGGGTGTGTGAATGGACTGGCGCTGGCATCCTGACCCCTCCGTGTCCCTGTAGGTGCACTGCTGACTTCTGTGGTTTGGTGCCCCAGTAGGTCACAGGCTCGAGTAGGGCACCACTCTTGGCTCTGAGTGCTTCCTGTCCAGCACTTAGGCTTTTTAATGGGCTTGTCATCTTCACAACTGCCCAGGATCTGTCAGGGTTGGAGCAATGAGGACAGGGCCCTCTTCGGATGTCCTCTTTTCTATATCCACCACCCCAAGGCCACTGGCCTGGAGTCATACCGTGGGAGGTCTAAGAACAAAGGAGTGTGTAGTTTATGTACACAAAACAGCAGTTTGCTGTGCGTCACTCAGACATCCTGGGGCAGAAGACATTGGATTATGACCAGTGGAACCTGGCCCAAGGATTTGGGTTGTTATCAATTTTATAACTGCAGTGCCAAATCTGTCAGATTCTATTTCCCCCTGGAAATTTTATTTTTCATTTATTTTTAAGATTTTAAATTGTTCTTTAGATATGCATGACAGTAAAATGTATTTTACCACCACAAGAATGGGAATTTAACTTCCCATTCTTGTGGTGGTAAAGATGTGGTGTTACCCTGGTCATACATTCATGTATGAACATAGGAAAGTGAAGTCCGATTCATTCTACTGTTTCTTAAGTCTGTCAGATTTGCTGAAATGAATCTCGCTCATCTTCAGCTGCTTTTGTGTTGTAAGTCTAAGAACAGGAAGGAGGTCAGCATTCTGATGTGTGGAGTAAAGACTGGCAGATTTAGGGAGTGTGAACCAAAGAGCAAGTTTGGTGAAAGAGCAAGTTATTCTTGACTATGTTTGGTTTCTATTTTAATTTTACATTGTTGAAAAGTTCTGGCTCGGGGCTAGGGATGTGGCTCAGCGGTAGAGCACTCACCTAGCATGTGCAAGGCTCTGAGTTCAATCCTCAGCACCACATAAAAACAAAATAAAGATATAGTGTCCAACTACAACTAAAAAACGTATTATTTAAAACAAAAAAAAAAAAGAAAAGTTCTGGCTCTAATCATGAGGTGCTTCATTGTCATCTTACCACTTTTTAAGATGGTGTCTGACCTTCCTGGAGTAACTCTACTTACTTTTTTCACATGGATCCCACCTTTTGAATCTCTGAACTTGAGATAGAATTTAAGAATATGTTTTTGAAATCTGGGGCATGAATCCTGCTATATAATTTATTTTTAAAAATAGCTTATTCAGAATATACTCAGGTTTTAGTAAATGTCATAAATGTTTGCTGATCACTTACCATGTTTTAGATAATCAAAAGGACCATTATCTGCAGAACAGAGTAGTTTAAGTGGATGTCAGATAACTGATTATATAAAGCATTCTTCAAGAGACAAATTTTATTCCTGTCATTCATTAGGATGATGATAAACTAATCAGCTGACCTAATAATCTTGCTTGTTCATTTCCATCTTTAATTTTGGTTTTATGTTTTTCATCATTTTCATATACTGAAGGAATGAATTTAAAACTATGTCTCCAAACTAAAGTTTCTGGCATCTTTATCCCATCCAACTTTAAAGTCACAATAAAGGAGAAACTTTAGGGCTGGGGATGTGGCTCAAGCGGTAGCGCGCTCTCCTGGCATGCGTGCGGCCCGGGTTCGATCCTCAGCACCGCATACAAACAAAGATGTTGTGTCTGCTGAAAAAAACTTAAAAATAAATATTAAAAAAAATTTTTTTCTCTCTCTTTAAAAAAAAAAAGGAGAAACTTTACTGTAGGGCTTGATGATTTTAGGAACTTTTAGTTATTTGTGCTCTCTCCATTAACTTCTAATTGTGCAGGATTTGTGATAACTCTCCTCAGCCACTTTTTAATTTAGAAAAACAAAATATTTAAAAGAGATGCTGGAAATAATTTAGCAAATATTTCATTTTAAAATTTATTATCAGGTTTTTAGAAGTTGCTGTTTCTTTGACTGATAATTACCCTTTTGCCCAGAATGTTCTTTTCTTTTTTAAAATTTTAAAAATTTTTTTAGGTGTAGATGGACACAATACAATGCCTTTATTTTTATGTGGTGCTGAGGATTGAACACGGGTCCCGCCTGTGCTAGGCGAGCAGTCTACCGCTGAGCCATAATCCGAGCCCCAGAATGTTATTTTCTGTGAAGTATTTTTAAAAGTCCTAGGGTTAGCTGGCATAGTGGTGCACACCTGTATTCCCAGCAGCTCTGGAGGTAGAGGCAGGAGGATCACATGTTCAAAGCCATCCTCGGCACTTTTAATGAGGCTCTAAGAGACTTAGCAAGACCCTATCCCAAAACAAAAAATAAAAAGGTCTGGGGAAGTGGGTCAGTGGGTCTGGATTTAATGCTTAGTACCAAAAAAAAAAAAAAAAAAAAGGTCCTAGAGTTAACTATTTTTTAAATCAAAACGTAGTAGTTCTAAAAATGGTACATTTACTGAATTCATAATGACCTTACTAATTGATGTCATAATTTGAAACTTGGGAACACATTGTAAGAGAACAAAACTTTCTTTTAGAATGGGTTTGGAGAGTGGAACTTGGAGAACCGGCTTGTCATTAAGTGGATGAAAATGAATAATGTTTGTTTGAACTTCATGTTCTTATCAGTTTGGTTTGATCTTTGGAAAAGAACATTTGTCTCCAATGTCTTAGGTTCAGTTTTTGAATGTTGACCTCTGTGTAGTTTATAACTGTGTTTTACTATTGCAATCACAAGGATAAAATGAATATGAAACTGATGGAATAGGTCATTTTGTTATGACTGAGCATGACCCATAAGTAAGGATTTTGTGAGATGAATCAGATGTATTTTGGACTCAACATGGGTTGTTGAACATACCTTGGTGGCTGGGGTTGGAGCTCAGTGGCAGAGCACTTGCCTAGCATGCACAAGGCCCTGGGTTCCATCCCCAGCACCACAAAACCACCACCACAACAAACACATGCCACGGCGTTGTTTATTTGCTGTGGAGTGTGTAACATACCTGCCTTTGCTGATGCCGCCCAGGTGCAGTCTACCGATGCTCCTGGTTCCTATGCAGCAGGCAGAGCTGGTTAATGATGCAGTGAACCAGGAGTTTAGCAGGTGCACATTACAGTCACATTCCATAGCTTCTCTCTTCTCTAGATTTACATTTGTATTGGTTTACAATGATGATTGAAATATTAAAGTAATACGTATTTTTTATATTTGTATTTTATCAAAGGAATAAGTCCTGCTGTCAGTGGAGGATGGGATACTTCAACTTGGGGGTTGAAATCAAACACTGAACCTCAGAGTCCACCCACAGCCTCTCCTAAAGCAATCACAAAGCCAGTTCGAAGGACTGTTGTAGATGAATCAGAAAATTTCTTCAGTGCCTTTCTCTCTCCAACCGATGTGCAGGGCATTCAGAAGAGCCCAGTGGTATCGAAGCCCCCAGCTAAATCACAGCGGCCAGAGGAGGTAGAAAGTGGCCTGCATGAACCCTTGCGGGATGCACAGTCAAGACCTGAAACCAGTGACTCGCAAGTGAAGGACCCTCCTCTGTGTGTGTCAGGGGGAGCTCAGGCGGCAGGCACTCCGTCACCTAAAGCTGAGGGCAGGCTCGAGGAATCTGTTGGTGGAGAGTCTGACCTGAAGGCGCCAGCTGCAGGTGTGGAAGCATCAGAGAGTGCCATAACCGTGAAACCAGCTACAGAAAGTGTGCCCCATGGCTCTCCGCAGGCTCTCAGCGCAGAAGAGAAGGGCGTGGCTCTGGAGCCCAAGGAGCCAAAGCAGGAAGACAGGCAGAGCAACACCCCGTCTCCTCCCGTCAGCACCTTCTCCTCGGGCACGTCCACCACCAGCGACATTGAGGTCTTAGACCACGAGAGCGTGATGAGCGAGAGCTCCGCGAGCTCCAGGCAGGAAGCCGCAGACCCCAGGTCTAGCCTTCCCCTGATGCAGACCTCGTTCCAGCTGCTCTCCACGTCCACCTGTCCTGAGTATGGCCGCCTAGATGAGCTGCACAAGCTCAGTGAGAGCTGCTGCTCCTCCGATGCTTTTGAAAGGATAGACTCCTTCAGTGTGCAGTCGTTAGATAGCCGGAGCGTGAGCGAGATCAATTCAGACGACGAGTTGCCAGGCAAGGGGTACGCCTTAGGGCCGGCTGTGCTTGGCTCGACTCCGAAGACGAAGACCGTGGAGTCTGTGGAGGGAAAAGCTGAAGGGGAGGCCGATGGAACACTGGTCGCTCCTGCCGAGGAAGCGGAGATGGAAGAAAGTGGACGGAGCGCCACTCCCGTTAACTGTGAGCAGCCAGACATGGCCGTTTCTCCTGCGCCAGTGGGCGAAGGACACGCTGTCCTGCACAAGGTGGCTGGGCAGGGGGAAGCCGCCGAGGCACAGCCTGAGGCTCTTGCTGAGAAGGAAGATGTTTGCAAGGTACTGTAGAAAGTAGGAGAGGACTTTGGAATGTGCATTTCAGAGAGAGAATAATTTGTTTTAAAACATTTTTATCACAGCAGGCGCTGTGGCACACACCTGTAATCCCAGTGATTTGGGAGCAGGAGGGTCACAAATAGAGGCCACCTGGGCAATTTAGCAAGACCCTATCTCAAAATAAAAAGGACTGGGGGTGTAGGTGAGTGCTAGAGCACCCAAGTGTTCAATCCCCAAAAAAGTCTTCTTTGATACCAATGACTTGTGCTGATTTAAAAAGATAGATATTTTGCCATTTCAATATAACATTAAGGACCTTAAAATTGAAAAATTACTGATAGATATTAAATTATTTGAAATTTCTCCATAACAACATGGTAGAATAAGTTGATATTTCAATATCACTAAGCATAAGAATTTCCATCTTTTATCTTTGTCATTTAACCCTTGTGGCTTTAAAATCCCCTCGTATGCTATCCTTCTCAGTATGCCAGTTGGAAAGTGCTTCTCTTATGGCACGTGTCCTCAATGCCTTTGCACATAGACATGCTAAAATGAACCTGACTATATTGTTCTTAGAATCTTTTTTGCATGTTCACATTATTTGAAGCAAATTTTAAAATTAATCTTTATTATTTAGGTTTAGATGATTTTAATATTAATATTTTCATTGATGCATAGGAGTACAGTCCTTATAATGCCTTAATTTGCCTTCTCTTTATGTTATTACTATATATTTATTTATTTTTAATATTTATTTTTTAGTTATAGGTGGACACAATATCTTTTTATTTTATTTTTATGTGGTGCTAAGGATCGAACCCAGTGTCTCACGCATGCTAGGCAAGTGCTCTATCTCTGAGTCATATCCCCAGCCCCGTGTTTATTTATTTTATTTATTTAGTTTTATGATATTACCAGAACCCAGAGATTATGCATTCTAGGCAGCCACTCTACACCGAGCCACATTTCCAACCCCTCTTTATACTTATTTTTGATATCTCCAGTGGGTAGGTATCTTACATGAATGAGGAAATAATTTTGTTTTTCCTTATAATTTTTAGGTATAGAAATTGAGTTGGATCTGGAATCTTTAATAGACTCCTGAGATACAGGATGTCTTGAAATGTCTTGTAACTGCCATGTGTTGAGTTATTTAATAGTTTTAAAAGTGCCAAATGCTGTTACCAAGTTTAACATCATTCACAAATATAATGCCATGGGGTGTATTACTCAAATTAATAATAGCAGTATACTATAAAATTCATAACAGTACATTGAATTCCTAGAAACCAACACTCTCATTCTCAGGAAGATACTTTAGGGTATTTTCAGTGTACTTGAGAAGGAAAGTCACCCCGCAGTTGACGCAGTCCTAACTCAGGTCAGACTACTGTTTGGTCCAGCAGGTCCTCTTTTGCCCTCGGGTACCTGTTCACCTGTGCTCCAGCACAATCTGAGGGGTGAGATGCCTCAGAACCACTTTTTGTTTTGCTTTATCCTAGGAATTCTGGAAGCCTTAGAAGTACATGCCTATGGGCTTCCAAAGTTACTTCTGTTTGTTAAGTGCAGAGTGTCATGCTAAAAAAATCGACATTCGGATTATAGAGTAGTGAAGAAAGCAGAGGCTCCCTGATCTCTTCCAATGCATCTGCCTTCCTTCCTCTTTTGGTGGACCTACAGGCTGTTCCAACTTTTGCTGTTACAAACAGCCTGCTGTGAATATGATCACATGTCACCAGGAACCTTCTCCTGTGAGGTGGACCTGCATGAGGCTGTGGACCTGCTTGAGGCCGTGGGCATGCACGGCTGGTCTGCGGTTCTGCCCCACAGTGTCTGGCTCTGTACTGGCGCCAACCTGGGCTGTTCTGATGAGCACTCTCCTGCTAGCTGCACAAGTTCTTGTGCCCCTGCTGCTCTGAGTTCCCAGTGTTGTTTTGGTTGTTATGAGATAGTGTTGTCTTGTTTATCATGCTGACTGAGTTCATTGCCTGCATATGTTCAGTGCGCTTTTAAAAATTCAGTGTTTTGACTTTTATGTATTCTCTTTTCAGACAGTTCAATTTCTGAATGAAAAATTGGAAAAACGGGAGGCTCAGTTATTATCTCTTAGTAAAGAAAAAGCACTCCTAGAAGAAGCATATGACAACCTGAAGGAGTAAGTACTCTGTGAACGTGAGTGGCTTGCATGTTCTGTGGAGCCCCGTGTGCATTGTGTGACTCAGGGATGGTTTTGAAATTAAAATGTCTTGTGATTTAACTTGTTTACAATTACTGAAAATTGAATAGTACTTTAGCCAAAACCTTACTCAAAGGTTTCAGATTTTCTTTACCATGTTCCCTTTGGCATAGAAGAGAGAGATTAAAAAAAGAAAAAAAAAACCCACCCAAAAATAAAATTCTTGCACTGGGGATGTAACTTGGTGGCTGAGCCCTTGAGCCGTTTTCCTGGCATCTGTGAGGCTCTGGGTTCAATTGCTGTACGTCAAAAACAAACAAACAACAAACAGAAAAACCCCATCTTACCTCTTTTCCCTTATTACCAGTCTTCTAGTAAAACATGTTTAAACAAAATTGTAATAACCTAGTCAAAATACTGAGTGTTGATTTGCTTTAAGGAGATTGGAGAAATGAGACGGAAGATTCAGAATTGAGACTTTATATTTGAGCTGCTTTAAAATAAACTAAGCAAGTAATTTTTTTTCTAAAAGTTACTCAACTTAAGCCGGGTGTGGTGGTGCACGCCTGTTATCCAGCAACACAGGAGGCTGAGGGAAGGGGGCTCCAGCCTCAGCAACTTGGTGAGATCTGTCTCAAAAGAGAGAGAATAAAAAGGACTGGGGATTTAGCTCAGTGGTGAAGCACCCCTGGGCTCAAACCACAGTCCTCCCCCCTCCCCAGAGTTATCTAAACCTGATCCATCTGAATCAGGTACATGCTAAAGAAATGTCTTCATTTTGAGAAGTAGGCTGATCTTGTCATGTCTGGGCTATGCAAGACAGTGTCTTCATTCTTGTGTTTAAATGCAGCGAGATGTTCAGGGTGAGGGAGGAGAGCAGCAGTGTGTCTTCCTTGAAGGGTGAGTTCACTCAGAGGATCGCAGAAGCAGAAAGGAAGGCTCAGCTGGCCTGTAAGGAGAGAGACGCTGCCAAGAAGGTAGGCAGACACACTTTGCACGCACCTGTTGTATGCTGGTATTAGAAAAAAGAAGATTAAAGGATATGTGTAGTATATTAACAACTGGGTTGTAAGTTTTTATACATTTAAATTTATCGTTTTTAAATATAGTATAAGATGTAAAAAGATGTTGGTTTCTATAATTTTTATGTTAATATCTGCAAGGTATATAGCAAAGATGATCAGAATGATTTTTGTGAATTATAATTCCATCAGAGTAAATTAACACTTAAATCTAAATGGTATTATTAATTTTAAAAAATTATCTTTACTCTCATTTATTAATTTCCAGCTACTTCAGACATACTATCTGTGTGTGTGTATGTGTGTGTGTGTATACACACACACACACACACACACACACATATATATCAAAGTAATTTTAAGATCTAACTTTCTACTAGTGATTCCTTTTGGGGATGGTGTTGACATATTCTAATGCAGAGTCTCTCACCGTCCGTGTTATGGATACTGCATGTTGTGGGATCTGTTCTGAGCACTGCAGGCTGTTTGGACAGCACCCCTGGCCAACCCATGACATTCTAGTGTTGTACCCTCTTCTTCCTCCCCATCTCCCTGCCTGTCACTGTTAATGCCAGATGTCTTGTTGGGGGCAGTTACTCTGGTTGGGAACCAGGTTGTAATGCTTCTAATTTGGAAAGCTGCCTGTTTCAGACATTGTTTACAACTGAGGTAGTAATTAGTGCTTGAGTCCAACTATTGCTCATAACATTGTCTCTGCACTTGCCCTTTCCCAGTTAGGTTGCTTTCCCCCTCGTTGAGCAATGTTAGTATGAATCCACCATTTTCCTACATGTACTCCTCAGAAAGGAGAGACGCCATATCAGGCCTTTGTGTGCTTGGTTGCTTTGATTAGCTGGCTTGGTCCAGGTTCCGACGTCAGCTTGACACTACCTAACCAACCCTCCTGATTGTTGTTCTGAAGTGACGTTCACCTGTAGAGTGGATGTCTGTAGATAGTGAGGGTACTGCACGTGAACTTACAGCTGGGGATCCATGGCAGATCACTAACATGCATGGGGGCCTGGATTTGATCCACAACATGGCCCCCTCAAAAAGGTGGTTCACTTATTTGCATTTATATTTCTATATTAAAATCTACTTATGTATCAGAATTTAGATTCTATATGGCATGTTCTAAGCTGTTTTATTAGTCTTAGTTAACCAAGGTAATAGGTCAACTGAAGAAAACTCAAAAATGTATTATAGAACTGTGATTATGGATGGCTTCTTCGGGTATGGGGAAAATGGAAAAATATGCCTAGATAAAAGTAACTTTATAGTACTTACATATTTGTTTTTAAATCAGGAAGTCAAAAATATAAAAGAAGAACTTGCTACTAGACTGAATAGTAGTGAAACTGCAGACCTTTTGAAAGAGAAAGATGAGCAGATTCAAGGATTAATGGAAGAAGGTATGTAATCTTTAGATTATGAAAAATATTTTAAGAACAGGGAAAATCCTTGTCATGTGACAGGCAGATATTTTCGAATAAAAATTGCTGAGCTGGCCCAGCCACTTGGGAGGCTAAGGTGGGAGGCTTACTTGTGCCTAGGAGTTGGAGGCCAGCCTGGGCAACATAGCGAGACCCTGTCTCAAAACACAAAAGACAAAAAAGTAAATAAATAAGAGCAAGGAAGGTTTGGACGTCAGTGACAGGAAATGCCTGTTATGGAAGCAGGAGAGTAGGATGCATTGAGACAGATAAAAGTATACATGTTTTTGTTTCTAGGGAGGTCAAAAAAAATTTCAAAAATAGGCAAAACTCGGGTTGCCTTGTAAAAGCTGTGACAAGTTTGAGGGCCATTGTTGAAAGATGGCTGTTGCAAGAATAGGAAAAATACTGTCTCTGGCTGGGTACAGGGTGTAGGGGTTCACATTCAGTAGTGATGGTGATGTTCTCATTGTCTTCATGTTTTAAATTTTAAATTATTACATTTGACCAGGTCATAGAAAGTAAAGGTCCATCATGAGATAGATCCCTTCTAAGGGACATTGATGGATTTCTTGTGCAGAGAGGAGGTTTTGGATGAAGTGGTTAAGTCAATTTGTGTTTTTCTTTATTAATTAAAGCTTTTCAAGAGGTAGGAAATAATACTTGCAGAAATGCTTGAAGTATAGGAAAGTGTGTGAGAAAGAAACAAGAGGTGATAGAAGGAAGCCTGATTGCTTGTGGTCTTGTTCAGCGCAGTGCAGAGAGTTCAGATCACATGGGCCTTCCCGGCTTCCTTCTGTCAGTTCCCGCCTTGCCGTTCGCCGTGAGTGGCTCTGTCCGGCTCTCTTGCACGGGTAGACCTAACTGGCTTCACTGTTGTCCTAATATTGGACATTTTATTTCTAAAACACTGATGTTCCATATATTGTAAGTTGGACATTTCTGGACTAATGTTATTGAACCTAACTGCATTTCTAGAAAAAAAAACACCTAGTTTGAGAACAGTTGGAAGCAGTCAGTTCATTTGAGACATGGAGCTGTACTCAGTGTTTTCATGTGTTGAGCTGACATTTGTCGAGCAGCCCGGCGTAGTGTTCTGGTGCAGCTCTAGTTCGGCCTGTCTTCCTGTCCTTCAGGAGCTTGCTGCAGTGGGAGGGAGACGTCCCTGCAGGTAGATGTGGGGCAGAACTCCAGGCCCTGAGGGAGGGGAGTCACAAGACCCACCAGCAGGACTTCCTCACGCTTGTGAAGTCCTCCAGAGACTGCAGGGAAGGCTAAATGCATGTTTTATAACTTAGGGAAATTATTTAAACCTTGTTAACAAATGCCTCAATTTGAAAATTTAGTAACTTAGTCTGGGGGTGGGCTGCACTGAGTGATCTCCCACAGGAGCACTCAAAGTGCCCTGTCCCCCAGAAGTGCTTTTAAGACCCACACCTGAAAGCTCAAAGCCACAGGCAGACTACAGAGAACGTCTGACCCCTTCATCACCTAAAGGAATCAGGTGGTACCGTCCTGCCCTGTCCTTCTGCACACCGAGAACTGCCCTTATCCAAGCCCACTGGACAGCCATTGTAGACGGCTTACATTGTGGTTTTCAGTCTCCTAAGGACTCACCCATTTTCCTTCTCAAGTACCCTGTGCTGCCTTAAGCCTTGATTCTGAGGCGTGGTCCACTGGAGAGTCCATGGCTTTTCATAGCTATCGTAGGCTCACACTCGGGCACTGTCCTGTCCCAGGACCCAGGGGAGATTGCTGCATCTGGCTCTTAGGTCTCGGGCTTCAGAATAGGGGATTCTGCCCTTCTTTATGACTTAAAGACTAGAGTCCAGGGCAGTTTTCCAATAGCATGTCCATGTTCAGAATTTGCTACTTATTTTAAGAGAAGCTTCAGATGAGATTATTAGTGAGAAATGCTCTGGTCAGCTCTGCACCTCTCCCTCCTCGCATCCCAGGCAGCCATGTCAGGAGCTCCCACCTAGAGGGGTGAGTGCCCTGGTCAGCACTACACCTCCCTATCCTCACATCCCAGGCAGCCATGACAGGCACTGGCCTTCACAGGAGCTTCATACTCCGCTTGTTCTGGGGGTGATACCAAGGTTCTCATTGAAGAGCACGTGTTTCTCCCTGAAATGCATAATATTTTGGAGGAGTTCTTTAAAACTGTCAGAGTCCTCTCCTGCAATTTTCACCTAATAGGTTTAGTCTTTGATTATTCCTGTCCAAATCAGTTTTAACACTTTGTTTTTAAAATTTTTATTTAAAAATTCCCTTATTACATCACTAGTGAGATAAACAAGCTGTTTAGATTCTCAGAAAATCATCACCAGATTGATTTCTAATTTTTTACTGTTGCCAGGAGAAAAACTTTCAAAGCAGCAACTACATAATTCTAACATCATTAAGAAATTAAGATCTAAAGACAAAGACAATGAAAATACCATTGCAAAGCTGAACAAAAAAGTGAGAGATCTGGAAGAGGAGTTGCAGCATTTAAAGCAGGTGAATGACAGCCGTTCTCTACGTACCTGTTGTCACCACTTCTTGTAGGGACAGCTGGCCCTGGTTTTTGGAGTGTTGGGAGTGATTCGATCAGATGTGTCATGGGAGAAGAACTTTTCAAAGAATTTACTCGATGTATTGTTAAGAGTTTTCTCCATTATTTTAATACCTGAGATTCATGGGATACAATTATTTACCAGGTTGTTGTTAACTAAAAAAGACTTCTGTGTGTTTTTATAACATAGGTCCTTGATGGTAAAGAAGAGGTTGAGAAACAACATAGAGAAAATATTAAAAAGCTAAACTCTGTGGTGGAACGCCAAGAGAAGGATCTTAGCCGACTTCAGATGGAATCGGGTGAACTTGAGGAGAAGAATCGAAGTATTCAGGCTGCTCTGGACAGTGCATACAAGTAAGGATCAAGCCCAGCGCAGCGGGTCCGCTGTCAGGGGGAATGAGGACAGGCCTTTCCTGCTGTCGGAGCCCGAGCAGCATTTGACGCCTGTGTGGGAGCTGGCTGTGGTCATTTGACGCCTGTGGTCAGCAGGCTGCAGAGCCCTCCCGGTAGCCGGGTTTGCTGTGGGGAGCTCTCTTTCATTCTGCAGCCTGCTGTGCTAACAGAATCTCACCAGCAGGCTCCTAGTTAACTGCACATTATTTTAAATAAAAGTTGTCGATCTAATTTTTTAAGAGAACTTACTGATCTTCACAAAGCCAATGCTGCAAAGGAGAGTGCGGCCCAGGAAGCGGCTCTGAATCGTGACGTGAAAGCAAAGGAAGAGCTGTCCGCAGCGCTCGAGAAGGCCCAGGAGGAAGCCCGCCAGCAGCAGGAAGCGCTGGCCATCCAGGTGAGCAGCAGGTGGTGGACGGACGGACATGGCCGTCTGTGCCTTTGTTGATACTTTGCAAGTCAAACAGCTCTTGCTGGCCTGAATCAGACCTTCTGTGGTGCTACGGGGATCTTGGTGGGCATTTTGAAGAGTGCTGCATTGTGCAAAATGTGATTGTGTGTTGTATTCAACATTGTTATTAAAGAGAGATGTTTACACTGTGCATATTATTTAATTTTTTGTGAGCTTCAGAGTTATTTAAGAATATTATGGTGTTGGGGATGTAGCTCATTGGGAGAGCACTTTCTTACCATGCATGAGGCCCAGGCTTCAAACCCCAGCTTTGCCAAAAAAAGAGTAAAGTATGATGGAACTAAGTGCCTTGTTTCCACAGAATGTATATATGCACATAATTGTTATGTACAATTTCAAAAGAGCATTTATGTCACTCTTTAGCTCATTCATGATAGCTTTGGCAATCCAGGGCCTTAGATGAAGGAGGGAAAACCAAGTTTGGGAGGCTTTGTCTTCGGAGCTCATCAGTTGGTGGACATTTTGAGTTATGTGTGCATTTTATCTACTATGAATGTTGCTATAAATATCCATATATAAGTTTTTGTATGAATGTGTTTTGTTTTTTATTATTTGTTCTAATTAGTTACACATGACAGTAGAATGCATTTTGATACATCAAACATAAATATAGTTTAATTTCTAATTGTGGTTGTACATGATGTAGAATCACATGGGTCATGTAGTCATATATGCCCATAGTGTAATATTGTCCAATTCATTCTACTGTCCTTCTTACCCTTATGCACCCCTCCCTCACTCCCCTCTGTCTAGTTCAAAGTACCTCTGTTCTTCCCTAGCCGTCCCCCGTCCCTATTGTGAATTAGCATCCACATATCAGAGGAAACATCCAGCCTTTGGTTCTTTGGGACTGGCTTATTCTGTGAGCCTACTATTCTCCAGCTCCATCCACTTACTAGCCAGTGCCATAATTTCATCTTCTTTAGGCTGAGTGATATGTTGTTGTGTGTATGAACCACATTTTCCTTATCCACTGTATGCCTATGTTTTAAATTCTCCAGGATGCATACCTCAGGTCGTATGGTAAGACCACAGTTAACTTTTCCCCAGTTTCCTTCAGGAGTAGATCAGAGCTTCGTGCCCTCTATTCTCTGGCCCACATTCGTTACTGTCTCTCTGTTTTATTCCTGTGACCCTCATAGTGGGCGTGGAATTGGCATCTCAGTGTGCTGGGTGATGTGGAGCTGCTTCTCCTGTGCTGATCGGCCACTTCTGGGTCTTCTTTGGAGAAGTGTATTGACATATTCTAATCCTTTGTCGCTTTTCCTTTCTTTTACTTATTTGTTTTTGTGGTGCCGGGGATGGTGCCCTTCTCTTAAATTGGACTGTATTCTCTTTATTGTTGAGTTACTAGAGTACTTTGCATATTCTGCAAACTATCCCTTGATACATACAGGGTTTGTGAATGTTTTCTCGATTTTCGCGATCGCCTCCTTTGATTCACAAGGTTGTGATTTGACGACGTTCAGCTTGTGTGTCCTCTGCTGTTCCACGTGTTTTGGTGTCGTGTTTAAGAAGCAGTCCTTGCCCCAGCTTCTGCAGGCTTCCAGCAGGCTGCCGAGGAGTTCCTCCGATGGCTCTCCAGTACGTCTTCTGCTACGATGTCAGTTTTCCCCATTGATTGAAAAAGCTAATTTCTCCTCATTGACCCCAGACGCTTTTGGTTCAATTTTACATTTTGGATACATAAAACATGTACACAATTCCAAAGTGAGAGCTATATAACAAAATATATTCTGGCAGCACCTGCTTCCAACTCACCTGTCTCCCTTTCGCTCCACTGAGCGCCTGCTTTTGTAGCGTGTCCACTCCTGTGGCGGATTCAGCAGACGTGGCGTCTCTCCTCCATGCTGTGGAGGGCTGAGCCTGGCCCCCTTGCTTTCCTCATAGGTGCTGGATGTCTGTCGTTTTGGGACTGCTTGGTAAGGGGTGTGAGGCAGTTGCGGGTGGAAGCTCTTCGGACACTCCGAAGTACATAGCAATGTGCGTGAGCAGCCAGTCACCGCGGCGTGACTTACGTAGTTAGCAGGACGTTGTAGATGACGCATGGGCAGGGAGATGACTTGCTCTCCTCTCCAGGTGGGGGACCTCCGGCTGGCGCTGCAGCGGGCAGAGCAGGCCGCTGCCAGGAAGGAGGACTGTTTACGCCACGAGATCAGTGAACTTCAGCAGGTACTGTCGCAGCTTTCCCCGACAGTCAGAAAGGGTGGTTCCTGGAAATACATATGGACTCCCTGGTGTCGCGTGGAGCTGAGCACATACTGTGGCTGTGGCTCAGGTGAACAGAGGGGCACCTGAAAAACAGATCCAGGAGAACATCCAGCTTTGTTTTGGAGGAAATAAGTGTATCATGATAGATCTGTTAACATTCAGTATTTTTGGTTTTATTTTACTTTTGTTTTATGTTTTTGCAGTGCTGAGGATTGACCCCAGGCCTTGCCTGTGGCAGGCACTGGCCTCCCTCTGAGCTACAGGCCCAGCCCGTCATATTGCCCTTTGAACCGTGATGGCTGTCCTCCTCACGGGGATCGGTCTTCCGTGACTGGGCAGATGGCCATTGCCTGGCTTCTGTTGCTCTTCCTTTTCGTCAGTGAACGTACCTGGGAAAAGGGAGAGGAAGTAAAGTTCCCACCGGTGCTCTGTTTTCTTAAACACTTAGACGTACCTGAGCCAAGAGGCAGCTCCGAGGAGTCTGGGGGCCCTTCACCTTCAGACTCACCACGGCTGTCTTTGCAGTGCTTTACTACGAAGCACCCACTTGGATTCTCTGTGCAGCTTTTTCCAACTGAAGGATTGAGTAGAAAAAAATAGTTTCATAAAACAAATAGTTTTCTTTTGTAAAAACAGTTTTTTCCCAGACATCTCTGATGAAGTTCAGGTTTTCTAGTGTTTTGGGGATTTTTATTGTTGCTAGTCGTGATGACTTGTTCTCTTGATTCAGAGACTCCAGGAAGCAGAGAATCGGAACCAGGAGCTGAGTCAGAGTGTTTCGTCGACAACGAGGCCATTGCTTCGACAAATAGAGAATTTGCAGGCAACCTTAGGGTCCCAGACGTCGTCGTGGGAGAAGTTGGAGAAGAGCCTTTCTGAGCGGCTTGGTAACTGCCTTGGCCTCCTGTCAGGAGCAGGGTGGGCTGGGGAATCACGGTGGCTGGCCGTCCCGTCGTAGCTGGGCAGCGGGTTCTGAAGGAAATGCCGACAGCTTCCTTGTGCAAGCCCTCCCCGCTGCCTGCCTGCCCTGGCTGGCCTCTGCTCCTGGGCCTTGTCCTCTCCCTCTTTGGGAAGGCAGGTGGCCCCATCTCAGTAGGCTGTCTGTGTTCCCCTGCACGCCTGTTGGGCGCTCTTCCACTCACGTGTCCTTCACATGTCCTTTACGCTCACGCGTCTCTCGCGTCTCTGTCCCTGCTCTAGCTGGATTGTTGGTGTGTCCGGTTTTGCGTTGTGAGTCTCCCACCCTGTGGACCTGGCCTTTGTGAGTGTCTGGCAGTCCTTCCTCCTGGTCTGCAGTGTCTCTCCCTTCTCCACAAGAAGCCAAGTGTGACGCAGTGGAGGAGTCTGTTTCCCTGAGTTTTCATTCTGTGACTTGCTTCTGCTGTCCGTGTCATACTCTCTGCTTGGCCTAGAGCCTCAAGATCTTCAGTGCTCTCCTGAGCTTCATGGTTCTGTGTCGTACATTGACATTTGTGATGCATTTTGAGTTAACTTCCATATGTGATGTTTTGATAGAGATCTTTTTGTTAAAACCCTGCCTATGGACGTCCAGTTGCTGAAGGACCATTTGTTATTGCTTCTCTTAGTTGCTGTTGCAGCTCTGGGAGGGAAGCCAGGGCTTTGCACTGCTGGTCAAGTGCTCTCCCATCAAGCTGTATCCCCAGCCCCAGTCTACTGCTCTCTGAATGCAAAGGTTCATTTTCAAAGCATTTTACTTTGGGAAATTAGTGATAAAGCAGGTTTCAGTTCAGATTGCTCATTTGTGTCAGCGGGCAGTGCTGGCTTAGGCAGGAGATAACTGTCGGTTGAGCTGGCCACAGGCCTCGCTAGCTCCAGTTTGGTCAGCTTGGCGCGTTGGTCGCGGGTACATGGTCCTTCTTCCTCTCCTACAACCAGCTGAGTCGCAGACCTTGTTGGCAGCAGCAGTGGAAAGAGAGCGGGCAGCCACTGAGGAGCTCCTGGCCATCAAGACCCAGATGTCTTCCGTGGATTCACAGAATTCTCTCCTGAGGCAGGAGAACAGTCGATTCCAGGCCCAGCTGGAGTCGGAGAGGAGCAAGCTACGAAAACTGGAGGATGAAAGTAATCGGTGAGCATGTTTGGTGGTGTGACCGTGCGTGGTATTGTTGGTAGTTTCCTGATATTTTGAAGCCATAGTTAAAAGCGTCAAAAGCATCATAACACTAAGAACTGAGAGCAGGATTCTCAGCGTTTGAAGTTGGGATAACTGGTAAAAACATGTCAAGATGGTGCTGGGACTCTAAAATTAGGTGATATGGGTTGTTTGTATTTACATTTTTCCAGGGAAAGCATTCATACGGTTGAATCAGTTTTGTTTTTTTTAAGTCATTAGTAAAAACAGACTAGTGTGTGTGGAGACCACTTTGCTGGAGTCATTTTGACATTGCAAGGTCTCAGCCGCACTGCAGGCTTCCTGTGCACTGGAAGCCACCGCTGTGAGGTCACCTGAAGTTGTGATCAGTGTGTTTTCCCCACTGAGCTCTTCTCGGAAATCCTGCCTTTAAAAATATAGTTAAGTAAAAATGATTTACAAAGAAAATATCTGAGCTTTCATAAATATCTTTTGTTTCGTTCAGTACTGGGGATTGAGCCCAGTGTCACTTTACCACCAAGCTACGTCCCCAGTTCTGTTTTCTTATTCATTCATTCATTGTACTGGGGATTCAGCCCAGGGGCTCTTTGTCGGTGAGCCACGTCTCCAGCCCTTTGTATTTTTACTTTGAGATAGGGTCCTGCTAGGTCATGCAGCCTGGCCTTGAACTTCGCATCCTCCTTTCTCAGCCTCCTGAGTTGGAGTGATTACAGCTTGGTGCCTGGCTTCCCTCTCACTTTTTTTGAGACAAGGTCTCACTGAGCCGCCCAGGCTGGCCTCAAACACGGGAGACTCCTGCCTCAGTCTCCCAAGTGGTTGGGATGGCAGGCGTGACCAGCATTTTCATAGAAGCCCTGCTCTTAGAGATTTGAGTGCACTCTAGAACAGGGTGCTCAGCCTCCCTCTAAAGGAAATCCTAACAAGCAGGGAATAAAAGGCACAGGGCCTCTTCCCACCAGTACCGCCTACCCTAGGGTGCCCCAGAGTAGGAGTTCTGTGGTCAGTCCCTTGCCTTTGAGTCTTGCTTAATTCTCTCTGCTTTACCAGGTACCAGGTGGAATTGGAAAATCTAAAGGAGGAATATGCAAGAATGCTGGAAGAGACCAGGAGAGAAAAGGTGCTACTCTGGGTGCCCCCAGGGCACATGGTTCTGGGCAGAGGGCGGGGCTGCTGGCTTCCCCAGCTCTGCAGCAGCTGGGCCAGCAGGAGTTTCTGCTTGGCCCTAGCCTGCCGCGGATGTCTTAGGAGAGCATCACAGAGAGAGTCTGACCATCTCTCTCCTCTAGACGCTGTTGAACAGTCAGTTAGAAATGGAAAAAATGAGAGTCGAACAAGAAAGGAAGAAAGCCATTTTCACTCCAGAAGCAGTGAGAGAGAAGGTATTGGATTCTGTTGACTTTTGTGTTTTGTTTTGGTATCACCATTTAGGAGCTGTTGTAATGAGTATTATTTTGTAATTCGGCTTATCTGTAGTGCCTTTTTTAATGTGTAAAATCAATGTAGTAATGAATTTTAGTAGTATTACCAGTGTCCTAGCAGAGTGGATCAAAAGTAGTTTGAGTATATCCAAAGACATTTGAATTTCTAGGCCTTGAATTACAGAATCTCTTCCTCTTTTTAGAATGAGTTCTGTAGTGTCTCACTGAAACTCAAGTACCTGATTGACCCACAGGCAGCTTAGCAGTAGAAGTGTGGTCATTTCAGCAAAGTGAGTCTCCTATGTTTGAAGGGTCATGGTGCACTTGAAGTTCGCATAATATATTAGGAATAGTGTATGTTAGTGGAGATCACCTTTTGAATGTATTTGGAATTTTTAAAGAGATACAGTAAAAAATAAAATATATAACTCAGAGTCTTCCTGGTTTGTAAGACCCAGTGGTAATTTTATTTTAAATAAGTAGGTTTAATTGGTGGTATGTTACCTAACCTGAATCAGTTCTTCCAGTTGTTTCAACAAAAAAAATCCTCATTCCATTTAAGAAACAGCAGTGGGTCCCCTGGTGACTGGACAGGTCTGTCTGTCTGGTCTGAGATCATCCTGAACACGGGAGGGGCGGGGTCTGTCTGGGCCGCTCTTGTCAGGTAACAGAGAAGTGCCCCCCTGACGCTGTCCTTCCTCCCCTAGGAGCGAAAGCCCCTGTCTGTTTCTAGTACTCCCACCCTGTCGCGCTCCAGCTCCATCAGTGGCGTGGATATGGCGGGGCTGCAGACCTCTTTCCTGTCCCAGGTAACGTATGCTTCCTATGCACGCCTCTCTCCGACACGCAGCGGCAGTGTGCCGTGTCCGTGGCCTCGTGCTCCGTGGCCTCTCATCTGCGTGTGGAAGGGTGGGTGATGAGTCCTGCCTTTGTGAAAGTCCTAGCCTTCTTTTTCAAATGTGGATGATCTGAGTGTTCCTCCTTGAAGTCCTAGACCTTCTAAAGCAGTAATCGACAGGATCGCTCTGTTTGAACCTGGTAACGCGACACACGTGCTTTCCTTACTTAAAACAGGATGAGGCTCCCGACCACCCGTTTGGACCCATGTCGGCCTCGGCAAGTGGAGGCACGCTGTACGATGCCGTGAGGCTGGGGGCAGGCTCCAGCGTCGTGGAGAGCCTGCAGTCTCAGCTGAAGCTGCGGGAAGGGGAGATCGCTCACTTGCAGGTGTGGAGAAATTGAGTGTGCTGTCCCCGGGAGGGAAGCGGGGGCCCAACAGTGGCACCTGAATCCCAAGAAAATCGACAGGCAAAATGAAAGGGTTCCACACGAAGCAGACAAGGGATGTCACATACCTTAATGGTGACAGCTAGGGACAGATGAGCCGGCCACCTGGCTGTCGGCACCAGGCTGACTTGTGTCCTGCCACAGGACAAGCTGGCTGCAGCAGGCCTCCTCATGGGCTGTGGCCTGCCCAGGGGACCCTGAGGAGCCCAGGGGTCTGCTCCTTGGCACAGCCCTTTCCATGCAAAAGGGGAGGTGCTGAGCTGAGCCCAGGCACTCCTCCCAGACTTTCCACCCATGTCCCCAACACCCCTGGGGGAATGCGGAGTGAGATCCTGTGGGCAAGGGGAAAGAGGCAGCATATGTGGACAGCAAGCAGCTTTCCACTGCCCTTCTTGCTTTCTAAAAATTCCGCGCACTAGGAAATGTGGACCATTTTACGTGCTTTCAGTGTGGACCTGACGTACACAGAGTGTGGAGGACTTCTTCTACTTCCATGATATGCCTACAGTTCCAGGGTAATGGACTCCATTAGGAGAACTGGAACTGGCAAGCAGTGAATCAGAACAGTCTTCTGCTCGGTGCTGGTGTAGCTAGGATGGGTGCCGGGAACCCTGGCTAATCTATCTGGCAGTGACCACAGCCTCCCTCCCTGTGCGGTTGGGAGGGAGTCCCTGCAGTGTTTCCATTCCTGTTGTTCTTGCAGTAACTAGAATACTGAAGGGTGTGTCACCTCTGAGATTAGAAAAACATACGTTTTTCAAACAAGTGTTTGGATTTTCTTTAGCTCTTCACGTCTCTCTTGCTCATAGTCATTCCTAAATCCGACCCTCGGGGAGGTGGTATTCTTTCTCTGCTGCTGTTGGTTTTACTGAAGGGGTAGCACAGGGTTGTAACAGCGACACCTCTAGTTCATTGAGTGTTTCTACATTAGTAAGTGTATTAAACAAGGTAAGATGGATTGGAACTTTTTCTGGTGATATTCCTCAGCTAGAAATCGGCAGTCTAGAAAAGACCAGATCGGTAATGGCTGAGGAGCTTGTTAAACTGACGAGTCAGAACGACGAACTAGAAGAGAAAGTGAAGGAGATTCCCAGGCTTCGGGCTCAGCTCAGGGTAAGTGTCCTCACTCCCAGGGTGGGGTTGAGCCCTCAGCTGTCACTTTATGTAAAATGGGTGTATGAGTTGGGCCACGTCTTTGAAAATCAAAGGGTTTTAGTATCTGAGTGAAGAGCTTTAAAGAGGACTCTGTCCTGCTCGCATCCTCATCCACAGTGCCTTTCACTCCTGCCAGTCCCCATGCAGGACGGACGGGGTGGCCTGGCCGAGGCTCACTTGCAGTAGCCGTGCTCTGGGGCATCTGCTCCTCCACGGTGGGCACTTCCTCCTGCTATGGACACTGCTGCGCCGTGGTGAGAGCGGGTGTTCTGGGCCTGTCCTGTGGGCCAGTGCTCACCCCTCAGTGCGTCACAGGCTGGAGTGGCATCAGGCGTGCCGAAATTAATGGGAAAGCGACTCAGTCACGGACGGGGAGAGTTCCAGATTTGGCCAAGAGAGAGTCAAGATTCACATTCAACTAGGTTTTTTTTTTTTTTTAATCTTTTTTTGCTATTTATTCCAACCTACATAGATTATGGTGCGTGTTTTGTTTTTAAAAGAGGTATTATATACTTTTATTAAATCCATCATATGTTTAAACTGTTGATTTATTTGTGATAACCGAAGATGTTCTGTATAGTTATTTTAAAAATTACAAACATATTTTTCAGGATTTGGATCAAAGGTACAACACTATTCTGCAGATGTATGGAGAAAAAGCAGAAGAAGCAGAAGAACTTCGATTAGATCTTGAAGATGTGAAAAATATGTATAAAACTCAAATAGACGAACTTTTGAGACAAAGGCTCAGTTAACTTCTGAAAATTGAATTCCCATCAAACTGAATGTAAACGTTTACTATCTAAATGTAGACTTCCAATAAATTCTTTTATAGAATTAGGAAATGGAACTTCTGTAGAGTGCAAAAATTTTTTTAAAAACTGTTTTACAGTATGTAGTAATATTTGCAGTTAAATTATTTTATGCAATATTTGAACTTTATTTTTGAAACTATTCTTTAAAGATTTTATTTTTAAAGGCATTTGACTTTTTTTCCCCTTTTTCCTTTTTCTTTGTTTGCCTGGAATAGCACAGAGGTTTAGTACTTTATGTATTGCAGTATGGCCAGGGAAGAAGAGGGGTGTTCATATATTATTGTAAATATATAACTAATTGTATCTATGATTTATATGTTTGTATATATTGAGAACATTTAAAAAGTAATATTAACAAACCAAAACTTTGAAATCTTTCACACTTAAATATTCAACATCTGATTATTACTTGTGAAAATGTTTTAATTAAGTGTTCAAGGAAAAAAGTTATTAAACCTGTGGTTATTAAATTTTAAACTAATTTTTTTCTTTGAAAGTCACACTGACACTGTCTGAAATTTAAAGTGAATGATTTAAACTTTCAAACTTTTTTTTGTGGTACTGGGGATTGAACCCAGGAACACTGAGCCATATCCCAAGCCCCTTTTATATTTTCTTTTGAGACCGGGTCTTGCTAGGTTGTCCCAGCTGGCCTCTAATTGCGGTCTTTCTGCCCCAGCCTCCCCAGTAGCTGCGATTATAGGTGTGCACCACCCCACCCAGCTTGATTTTTTTTTTTTCTTTTTTAATTGAAAACTTACTTCACCCAGCTTCTACACAATTAAGTGTGAACAAATTTTGGCATCTCTTGGTACCTATCTATAGAAAATTGTATATATTTAATTTATCTAGGCATAATCTGATAGTGGAAAATTTTACTTACAACCGTCTGGTGTCATCAGTTAAGACTTAAGTGATTTTGGAGAGGTGTTATTTTACTACCCTTTGAAAAGAACCAAAAGTAATAAAATTATTAACATAATTTACTCTCTAAAAATTGCTGATTTACATTTTGTAAAGCCATATTTTTGGCACATTGAAAATGAATGATATTATAATGAAATAGAATAATTACAGGACTTGAATAAGGCATTTATGAGTTTGTGTAATTTGTTTTTTTCTTAAAGCTTTAAACAAACAAGAGTGGCGTGGATTTGCTTTAGAGACTTGCTGTGCCCTCTTCAGCTGTTGTTTTGTTCTGAAGCTCACTAGGTCGTGTACTAGACCTTTGGAACACTTTGATCCCTTCTGTGGCAGGAAGTGACGGAGCTCCTCCACAGCTTCCCTCCTCAGCTGGGGCTGCTCTCTGAGGCTCCAGTTGCCCACAGTGAACCACAATCCAAAAACACAGATGGAAAAGTGAGAGAGAAGCAGCTTGTAGTTTTAAATGATGTCTTTTGTGAGTGGCATGATGAAACCTGCTGCTTGTCATCCTCGTGCCAGGACTCGACTCATCCCTTTGGGCAGTATGTTCAATCTGGTGGGTGGTCACCTAGTGGCCAGTTGGCTCTTACAGTGCCACGGTGCCTTGTGTTCAGGTGGCGCTCACTTTACTTAATGGCCCCAAGGCCCTGGAATAGTGGTGCTGACAGTTGGGTGTGTCCAGGAGAAGCTGGGAGTGCTTCCTGAGAACGGCAGGTGTAGATCTGTAACTGTCTGTGGTGCTAGGCTTCCACCGAGGGTGTCAACCATTCCCGTGGATAAAGTGGGATTACTGTCCTTGCAAATGAACACTAATCTTTAGCTACATTCTAAACATTCGCACTTGAGAATACAGCCCCAGGTGAGCCATGCTGAAGAACTGGAGAGCTTTTCAGGGCAATGCTGGTGACCTCGTTTTTGTTCTTTTTGTATTCAAACTATTTCTGTCACTGGATCTGTGATTTATAGCATTAATAAATATCCTTTAGGTGCAAGTTACATTCATAAGGCTAATTTTCTGTATTTTGGTGGTAAAAAGCAGTCTAATAGCTTTTTGTGAGCTTTTTTTTTAATAGTCTGGGGTCTGATGACATGACTGCTAGCAAGAAGTAGAGTGTAGGAATAAGAAGATACAGGAAACATGATTTGTAACATTCTTGTGGAGTGTTTGAAACCAAGAGTTTAGGAATTATCAAGTAGGTCTTTAATATATACAATATAAGAATATTCATTAGTTAAAAAATAAACCATTACAGAGAAAGGATTAAAATAAAACTCCTATGCTTTTCAACTTAATAGTATCAACATTTTTTAATCCTTATTATTAATAAATTCAGGTCACTTAAAATTTTGAAGTGTTCTCAACTGTTTCTTTGTGGTTTTCTTTTTTTCTTTCTGCTACCCCGGATTGAACACAGAGGACTTAAGCACTGAGCCACATCCCGAGCCCTTTTTATTTTAAATTTTGAGACAGGGTCTTGCTAAGTTGCTGAGGCTAGTCTTGAAATTCCGATCCTCCTGCCTTAGCCTCCTGAGCTTTTGGGAAAACAGGCATATGCCATCCGGCTCAACTCAACTTTAAAATGACAAGTAGCTGCTTAAGTCTCTGTATAGCACTACTATTTTATCTACAAATTAATAGCTGATATTCACACTGAATCTTATTTGGATGATCATTTTGATACATACCTAAGTTGAGAAGGGATACTAAATCCATTTCTTGAGAAAACCTCTAGGAGGCAGCAGAATGTCTTACATGTTGGTTGCCATATTTTGTTTGTCATGAGAACTTCTCTATCTGTGTTCTAGTGAAATGAGAGTCATATCTAAATTGACAAAAATAGTTTGCAAATAGAGGTGTCTGTTCTTGAAAGCAAACGGGCACAACAGCAGCGTAGAAGAGGCCTGGGCTCGGTCCCTGAGCGTATGGACAGGTCAGCAGCCTGCAGCCTCCTTCCAGCCCCGGAGGCCTCTCCCCGACAACGGGTGCCAAACCCTGGGATTCAGGTGTTCTGAGTATGGACGGTTTCTGACCTAGGGAATCAGGAGCTTTTGCAGTTGAGTAAATGAAAAGAATATTCAGGAAAAAAATTTTCCTCATGATCCCTCACTTTGTCATTTGATTTATTAACTAAAAGTTGTATTTGAACACTTACTAAAAGCCTATGATTATGGTACTTAGAAAATAGCAGGAAAAAAAAAGAGAGAAATTGACTGATGACTTTAGATATTTCATCTGTGTTCTAATTGTCGTTCATTTCCATAAAAACAACAGTTGAACTAATTGTCCCTATTCTAGGTCAGTTTTCAACTCTAAGAACTTCAGTCACATGTTTTGTAGAGGATTAAGAGTATGACTGAAACTACAGAGGAACATAGTTAACAGTACTGAGTACTAGTAATGAAGATGGCATTGTTTTATGAAAATCATATTACTTGGGAACTCATGTTTTAAGGAAATAAGTATAAGGCCAAATTTTCTTTGAGTTACTCTGAATAATGAGACATGCCTGAAGATTTTCTGCTGTGTCTGCATTCAGGAACAGCAGATAAAATGTGTCCTCTGTGCCTCAGTTCATATTGCTCTGTCATGAAGCTCTGCAACTTCAAAGTGCTTTTTATGTCATGCTGAGTGAAATAAGCCAGTCCTCAAAAACCAAAGTCCGAATGTTTTCTCTGCTCTGCAGATGCTAACTCACTCTAAGGGTGGGGGAGCTAGTGAAGACTCGAGTTACTTTAGATGAGGTGGAGCGGGGAGTGAAGGGGGAGGGTAGGGGCCTGGGGATAGGAAAGACAGTAGAATGAGTCAGGCATTATTACCCTATGTACATATAGGACTTTTAAAATACATTCTGTTGCATGCATACATCACATTTTCTCTTATCTGTTCCCCTATCTATGGACATTTGGTTGTTGACCTTTCTTGGTATTATTTCTAGTGCTGCAGAGTTGGTGAGATTGCTAATCTCTCTTCTATTCCAGATTCTATTTTCAGTTATCTTGGATAAATACTGAGAAGTGTAATTGCTGATCATATAGTAGCTGTATTTCTAAAATTTTTTAGTATATTCCATATTATTTTTCATGATTAGCTGTACCATTTTGAGTAGCTGTTGCCACATGTATCCCTTGCACCTTCTAGCAAACCAGATCCTCTTCCAAGATAGAATGGAAATTAAACTCTCTCTTCTCAGTACTTAAATAATTTTCCTCAGAAAACTCAAAATGCTCTAGTAATCTGCAGTTGTGATACAAAGAATTTACTCTTGGAGCTGTCTGGAATTCCCCTATACTCCCCCAAAGAGGGCTCAAAGTTTAATATTTTAACCTCAAGTAATATAATACTAAGCAAGAGGTAATGAGAGATTTTCTGTTGCTATAATGTTAAAAACTCTTCCTGCCTTGATGGATCTTGTTGAATGAGGTGTTCCATTTGTCTCTTTCCAAATTATAATCTTAATTTTTAAAACATATAGCATTCAGAAATCTATGTTCAGATGATAGTAGGAAACAGTATTGCATTTCCCCAAGCGCTGCAGGAAATGCACTTAGGTAGGACAACCCTTAGCCACTGCTCTGAAACCCGCATGTCTGTGTTTGCCATCAGGTGGACTTTGGTGACAAGCTCTGACCTGCAGAGCTTGGGCCCGCTACGTCATGCCCTCAGTGTGCATGTGCATGCATTTTGCTACAGAAGTGCCGTGTGAGGCCATGGGGGTGTGACCTGGGTGGGGCTCAGTTGGGGGGGGGGTAGTAAATGGTATATAGCCGTATTCCATAAAAAAAAAAAAATGGAGGAATATATATGGTCCCAAGAATTTTAGGGAAGGAATTACGTGCCTGCAGTTCATCTTTAAACCAACATTTGAAAGTTGGTACCTTTGTCAGCCCCATTTTTTTTTTTTCAATGAAAAAAAGGTCAAGTAACTTGCTCAAAGTCTTATGTCAAGTAAATCACAAAGATGGAATTCAAATATGTGCTGTTGGTTCCATCCCAAATCCGGGCTTTGATGGGCCCATAACTGTGAGTGATGCTTCTCAGTGTTTTGCTCTAAAATCTTAAGCAGAGAGATAAACTATAGCACAAGGTCAACTTCCGCCAAATTTTATTCCCTTAAATCTTCAGTAGTTTGAAGTTGGGACTGAATCACCTGCACCAGAGAACCGAAGCTATGTTCCGCTAAAGCTATCCCAGGTGCCTGGGGGTAGCAGTGAACGGTAGCCCTCTCAGCGGACTTCTGATGCAATTGTAAGAAGTTGGATCACAACAAAGTTTCAAACACGAATGTCCAAATATTCAGTAGCTCTGGCCCATCCTGTTTCATTCACACCCCAGTGGGCGGCCGTTTCAGCCTCACACATATTTCGAAGCAAGATTCAAACATAATTGGGTTGGTTATATTTACATATGTTCCCTAAAATCTAAGGACTTAAAAAAAATCACATTATCATACCTGAAAAACTAATTCTTAATATTGAATACGCAGTCAATGCTAGTATTTCCCAAGTTGTCTAAAATCATTTTTTAAAGTTCATTTTTGAATCAAGATGCAAAGAAGACTTGCTCATTGTGGTTGTTGCTCTGTGTCTTGAATCTCTAAACTCATGGTCTCTCCCTCTCCCTCTATTTCTAGCTATTAGTAGAAGCACCTGAGTCCTTTGTTCTTTTTTCCTGAAGAACTCGAGTTCCCTGCATCTGGATTGTTGCTGGTTGTGTGTGTGATCTATGGGTTTGGTCTCCTCTACCTGGATCTAGAGGCCACTGTTACTTGACTGAGTGCTTCATTAGGTAGAAGTGTGCTATTCCAGCAGCACATGAATGGTGCGGAATCCTGTCCTTCCGGTGACCACTCCTTAAATCTGTGACTTCATGGAGTTTGTAGGGTGGAGTGCTGTTTTGCCATTCCCTTCCCATCTTCGCAGCCTGCATGTCATTGTAAAAAGAGACACTCCACATCAACCATGCCATCACAATTCACTTAGAAAGGGTAGGGTTCTTCTTTGTTTAGGGTTGGTTGTCTTATGTCATCAAGGTGGACAGGGCAGACTTTGGCCTGTGTGGCTGGTTGGCTGTGTCTTCTTCAGTATGATTATTTGAAGATAGCTGGGCTTCAGTCCACAACAGTTAATCTGTGGATGATGATACGTCTTGTCTTGGGGCCGTTGGCAGATGGCTCCTCCCTTGCCTAATACTTTTATTGCTTCCCTGCGTCCTGAAGTGGGATGCTTCCAGCTCTTCTGCCCACTTCCTTCCCAGACCCAAGATCATCCTTTTTGTGTGTGTGTGTGTGTGTGTGTGTGTGTGTGTGTTTGCCTTTCTTTTAGTGGGAAATGGTTTATAGAGATCACAGCCTGGGAATAACAGGTGCCTTTTCTGCCAAGTACTTTACACTTAGGCCTTTGTAATGTGGTTATGGGAGACACTGGTTTTCATGAAAACTTTCATAGAAAAAGTAAGTCTTCCCATTGAGACTCCCAAGTGAGATCCAGAACTACAGGATGCTTGTATGACCTCATCAAGCTTTCCTCTATATTGCTAGGTCCCCAACTTGAGCTTCAAGGGTACCACCTTGATACACCTACTGGGTTTATTCCACAATACCAACGTTGCCAGCAACAGTTTAATTACTAAAGAGTCCACACGGTTTTTGTAATTCCTCCAGTCTGGAGGATTCAATCCACTAAGGATGTAGAAATGACGCTTCAGAGTTGCTTGGGGTAGTTCTCTGACAGGCCACAACCCTGGAGCATTTAGATACAGCTGATTAATCTCTCCATCAATTTTCAAGGTTGCTTTTTAAAATTGTGTTTTATAATGTCACATATTCACATGGTCCCAAAGCCACATGTAAATAAGGGGTATTCAGTGAAGCTGCCTTCTATGTGTGCCCTGTCCTATATCCCTTCCTTTCCCTACTGGTGATCACATTGACTAGTGCTTGTCCCTCTGTGAAATGATATCAGGTACAGGTGTGTGTGTGTGTGTGTGTGTGTGTGTG